CAGCCCCCGGGGTACATAAATCCCACTCATCCTCACTATGTTTGCAAGCTCCGCAAATCACTATATGGTCTCAAACAGGCACCCCGTGCATGGTACACACGCCTCTCCTCTTTTTTGCAGGGCCTTGGATTCAAGTGCTGCATTCATGATACCAGCTTGTTCACCAGACACTGCTCTCGTGGGACTATTGTTGTCCTTGTCTATGTTGATGATATTGTTCTCACTGGCAGCTCTTCTACTCTCATCTCAGAAGTTACTCAGGCCATGCACCGTGACTTCAAGCTCAAAGAACTTGGACCTCTTCATTACTTCCTTGGCATTGAGGTTCAGCGCACGCAAGATTCTATACTTCTCCATCAATCCAAATATGCCCGTGATCTTCTACGCCGAGCTGGGATGTCCGACTGTCATCCGGCTATTACTCCTATGGCTACGAGACCTATCACTAAGCCTTCGTTGCCTTTCAAGGATATTTCTCATTTTCGGAGCATTGTTGGCGGTTTACATTACTTGGCTGTCACTCGTCCAGACATTCAGTATGCTGTTAATCGAGTGTCTCAGACTATGCACAACCCCACTGAGCAGGACTATCATGCCTTGCAACGCGTTCTGCGCTATCTCAAAGGCACTTTGAATCATGGTCTTCTTTTTCGCAAGGGGGGATTCGACCTATCTGTCTACTCTGACTCTGACTGGGCCAATGATAAAGATGATCGCAAGTCTACCACGGGCTACATACTCCTACTCGGTCCTAATATCATCTCTTGGTGCACGAAAAAGCAGACTCGTGTTTCTAAATCATCCACTGAAGCTGAATATCGAGCTATGGCTGCAGGGGCTGCAGAAGCTATGTGGCTTCGATATATCACTGATGCACTGGGTATTCCTCCGTCCAAACCGAAGTTATACTGTGACAATGAGTCGACTATCTGTGTCACCAAAAATCCGGTTCTTCATGATCGCATGAAGCATGTGGGCACAGACTGTTACTTTGTACGAGATGAGGTTATGGCAGGCACTATGACTCCACATCATGTTTCCTCCTCAGAGCAGCTAGCAGACATTCTTACCAAACCGCTTCCGCCAGTTCCTTTTGAGTACTTATGTTCCAAGCTGCCCCTCGTCTCCATTGATCAGCTTGCGGGGGGATATTAGGAAGTATAATTAAATTAGGATACTTCTTTCCTTTCCTACTAGGATTATTCTTTCCTTTCCTACTTGTACTTTGATTACTCTTGTATTCCCTATATATAGGGCCATATCTCTCAATATTCAATAAGACAAGTTGTTATCAAATTGTATCAGTCTCCTCTGTTCTCGGCATCCTTCCCGGCGCTGTATCCCAAGGCGCCGTTTGCCTTGACGGCAGCCCGCCGGCTTACGAATGGGAAGCCGGAAAAGGACGAGCAGGGGCGACGAACTGGGTCGTTTTCATCCAAGGCGCCGGCTGGTGTGTGAACTCCACCATGCATCAAACTCCCGATGGTTCTGTTCAGAGCTGTGCCAACCGGTCGAAAACCGATGTCGGTTCTTCGCGCCTCATGAAGCCCTACAATTTCTCGAAGCATCATTTTCTGTCTCCTCACCCCAACGATTCTTATTTTCACGATTGGAATCGTGTGGTGGTGAGATCCTGTGACGGGGGGTCGTTCTCGGGCAATGTCGAGAAGCCTGACCCCGCCATGGACCTGTACTACCGGGGGGGCGAGGATTTTCCGGGCTGTCGTCGAGGAGCTGATCGATGACGAAAGGGCTCGGAGGTGCCCGTAACGTCCTCCTTGCCGGGGGTTCGTCCGGCGGTCTCGGCGTCATGGTGCACTGCGACCGCTTCCGGCGCCCTTTCCCGGAGAATGTGAGAGTGAAGTGTCTCGCCGACAGCTCGCTCTTCCTCCGCGTCCGAGACCCCCGGCGTGCGGCCTTCTTTGATGACGTCTTCTGCGATGTCGTGAGCTTGCACCGTCCGGACAACGCGTTGCCCAGACGGTGCACGGCGAAAATGGGGGCGGGGGCGTGTTTCATCCCCCGAAACCTGGTTCGGTACATCGAATCACCGTTTTTCCTTATGAACTCGGCATTCGATTCGTTCCAGGTCACGAACACGTTCTCCAAGCCCTTGCACGGCCGCGTCATGAACCACAGGGTTGGCCGAGGGGACTTGGCTCTCCTCCGAGACTTTCGGGGGCAAACAATCAGAGCCCTGCCCCGACCAAGCCGCATGAAGGGGTATCTAATCACATCCCTCTTCATTCACAGGCTTGGTACGGTGCAGGGCTACAAAGGGCCAAAGTTTCCCGGACGAAAGTCCAAGTCTTTTGAGAGTGCATTGGTCGATTGGTTTTTCGATCGAGCGACTAATGTTCGCTTCATAGACCCCTCTAAACAGCCCTTCTATGAGCCTCCCCGTGTAGTCAAGGATTAAGGAGAAGACATCAACTTCAATAAATAAGTTCAGTTGATGTAATTAATGTATCATTATCTATTTGTCATTAACTATTTAATGAATATTATTGAACTTCTGTCTTCTTAATCTCCTCTTCATTAATTATTGTAATTTCTTATTGTTCCCAAACACGTAATATACTTCATCCGTTCCACAAAACCCTTCCGGTTTTGACTTTGAGAAAAATAAGGAAAGTGTAATTTTGGTTGACTTTCCAATTTTGCCCCTGATGTGATGGGAAAAAGTAAGATGTGATAGTTTGGTTATTAGTGAAAAAATATGATATGATAGGTAGGATATGAAAAAGTAGGGGTAAAAGTGGGTTTTTAATAGAAAGTGGAATTATTTTGTGGAAAAACAAAAAAAACGAAAGAGGAAGAGTTTTGTGGAACGGAGGGAGTATTTTCAAACTGAGCCAATGTATCGTTCGAGCCAAAAGTTAACCTAGAAATTAAATTTGACCAGCTCATCAAGACATAGAATATAATAAAACATGTTAATTAATTTATACGACTAAATTATGAGGAACCGAGCATTATTATTGTTGTTTTTTAAACTAAAGGACATTATTTGGCATGCAAACAATATTACAGAATACTCTTCCAAAGTAATTAACCGTTTTTTGAAACTAAGAGCCTAAACTAAGAGCCTGTTTGAGAATAGCTTTAGCGATTAGCGTTAGCGTTTTGGAAAATATATTTACGGGCAGCGTTTAGCGTTAGCGTTTTCAACGTAATCTGCACCGTTAAAATTTTATCCATAACGCTAACGTTAATCTCTAACGCTATTCCCAAACAGGCCTTAAATACTCTTCCCAAGTACAGTTCTAACTTAAGCTTTTTAAAAATTTAGTACGGAGTATTTATTATTTTCACCAAACAATATCACAAAAATAATCCGAGTAAAAGTTGTGTTGGCGACAGAAGAAGGAAGCCGGATCAAAGAAGGAAACTGAATCCCTTTGGGATTCGGTTTTGTATCTTTCCTAGTTTGCTTAGTTCTTGTTATAGTAGGAATAGAAATATGGTAGGAATAAAAGTTTACTTATATGCTTTACTCTCTTCCTATATAAAGAGGGTAAGACCAGAGTTTCACAAACCAATTCAATATACAGGGAATTTCCTCCCAAATAATTTTCTACATGGTATCAGAGCAAGTTTTGAATTCTTGAGACCTCAAACATGCTTCTTCCCCTGCCGGTGGGCATACACAATTCAATGCCTACCGGCGGGATATTGTAATTTTTGATTTTCTTTGATTGTTCTCCCTCACTAAAGAATATCATGAACTCCTTTGACGAAAAACATTGCTGTCGAGGAATCCCGCCCAACCATCAATCTTGAAGAAGTTGTCCGAGAAGGGTTGTTCTACAGAGACAGACAACTCTTTCCTTAGTAGGCAATAAAAAAAGTCGGCGTTCAAGGTGTTCGAAAAGAATGGCGTTCCCCCTGTTTGTTCGAATACGGTGAAGGTTCGAAAAGAATGGTGTTCCTTTACTCGACTGATTATTCGGCGGATTCGAAAAGCTTGGCGTCTCTGTTGAAGAAAAAAACTGAAGCGTCTAGATGACACTTAGACAACGATGGCAGCGACTTCCTCAAGCTTTGTTGCTTTGTTCAATCTCTTGATGTCCAAGCTGGGCATGTTGAACTCCCATGCTCCAGCTTGAGGGGGGCTGTTGGCGACAGAAGAAGGAAGCCGGATCAAAGAAGGAAACTGAATCCCTTTGGGATTCGGTTTAGTATCTTTCCTAGTTTACTTAGTTTTTGTTATAGTAGGAATGAAAATATGGTAGCAATAAAAGTTTACTTATATGCTTTACTCTCTTCTTATATAAAGAGGGTTAGACCTTTGTATTCACAAGAACAATTCAATATACAGAATATTTTCCCTCTTATTATTTTCTACAAGTTGGATGGTAAAAAATTGAAAGTATTCACCATCGCTAATTTTAGTTTATGGGCAAAAGAGGTCCCTTATTTCACCAGTGCATTATTCAAGACAGGACTTACCGGTCCTTTTCGGTCCTTCAACATTCTTTTTTCGGGTTTTAGTACTGTCTGGTTCGCCGGTTTTTAGATTTGGGCAAATGGACTGGTTAATTTTTTTCTTAAATAAAATACTCGATATATTTTTATCCGAACGTTTCCCATGACATGCGAGCAATGTCATGTGATGACTCAGGAGTGCTCTGGCGTCCCGTTCGTAAAATTGACGATTTTTATTCCCCAACTTCACCGGTAAATCCTCCACCCCACCCAAATACACCCCTCCACCTCCTTCAATTACATCCAACAAGTTAATTTGACTTTAGAGTCAAAATTTTGACTCCAAAGTCAAAATTAACTTGTGGGGTGTAATTGAAGAGGATGAGGGAGTGTTCGAATCGGGGCGGGATATGGGGAGTTACCAAGGGAGTTAGAGGGATATAAACTACGGAGTATCAATTTTACAAATGGGGTATCAAAGCGTCCTCAGGTCATCCAATGTCATGGGACCCCACCGTATTTTTATATTGTATTATGTATACTAATTCAATTGTGAAATAATGCAACGTTAAAAAAGGTGCAAGATAAAAATGGTCGGTACGAGAGTTCAAGACTTTAGGCCTTCAACAACATTTGGTCTAGTAAATACTACGTATTTATTCTATGAAAGGGGTTTTTTTTTGAAAATTTTTTAAGTTCCGTTTGGTACATGAAATTAGAATCATAGAATTATAATTAGGAACCTCAATTCTCATCCTGTTGTTTGCTAGGACAGAAATATATGGTTTTGAAATTGTTAGTGCAAAAAAATGAATTGGAATTGGAGAATTCAATTCCATAGAATTTTAATTTCAATTCAAATCTGATTCTGTAAATTTTCTATACTAAACGGACCCTTTAGAGTATATCTGTTTCATTTCAACTTTCGATAAGAAAAAGGCTTCATGTAAAAAATACTCACTCCGTTTCAAATTTGATTACAAATTGGGAATTCCAAGATAAAATATTAATTTTTTGATTATATTATTTACAAATTAGTACATCAATAAGAAATAGAAAATACGTATTACAAATCTACGTCAAAAGTTCTACAAAAACAAGAAATGATAAGAATATTTTATTTTATCAAAAAGTTATCGAGCGAAGAGAGAAAATAAAATTGTAATCAAAACTGAAACGGTAGGAGTAAATTAAAAATGACCTTTGACACATAGAGGACTATCCATGTAAAAGAATATGCTCCCTTCATCTCACAATGATTTTTTATGTGAAATTAAATAAATTTTGATACTCAATAAAATAAAATTGTAATGTTTATAACTATAAAAATGATTTATTATATTTTTTTATTGAGATGTGTTAAACTTTTATTTGATTATACCAATATGCAATGCAAATTAAAAATGATTAAATATCAAAGTTTATTTATTTATTTTGAAAAATTTAAACTAAACAAAAACACAGGGGCAGATATAATATATCTATAATTTAAGGTTCTTAACTTCCACTTGCCCCCTTAACAACTGGAGCCGAAATGCTATAATTTTTAATAGTGTAACATTTTAACAATCCGCAGAGAGGGATGATCAAGACAGCTTTGAGGTAAGATTCATGAATTTTAATTATCAATGAAATATCATAAGTGTCTTATGACATGCTATATAACATTGAGATTTAATGTTATTGTAACGTAACATCGCCCGAAGATGTGACTTTTTGTACCGAGAAAATATAGTAAAATATTGAAAATTTGAAATGAAAAAATATGTGGATAGTTTTATATTATTTGAAGAAACAAAATGAATGGTGTACCCATTTCAAAAAAGAAAACGGAGAATTATAAAACCGATTTTTTGATATGTACAAGAAGAAAGTGTAACATCTTTCGAATGAGAGAGAATATATTACTCCATATACTATTTTTCTTTTTAATTAAACCTATAACTTAATTATATTTTACTTTTAGGTTTTATTCTTTTCTTTTTTACTATTTCATTTTAAGATTTATTCTTTTAATTTTAATTTTTGGGCTATCGTGAGGAGCTGGTGACGAATGGGCTGAGAAGTGCCCGTAACGTCCTCCTCGCTAGGGGTTCGTCTGGTAGGCTCGGCGTCATGGTGCACTACGACCACTTCCGGTAGGGGTGCGTTTGGTTTAACAGAAGGTAAGTTGACGCTTCTGTTTGGTTTCGCATAAAAAATATATAAATCGTTGGTTATTCGGTTCGGTTTTATACGATTTTTATTTCGGTTTTTTTTGCAGTTTTTCGGTTTTTAAAAGTAAAACTTATAAGCATTAAAAAGTTGTAAAAACACCAATCCGATGAAGCAATAACAATATGTAGAGTTCAGTTCGGTTTTTTGGTTTGATTTTTTACATAAAACCAAAAATTGATTTTTGTTGTATTATAATATTTATTTTATACATAACTTATTACACAAGGATCCAAACTTAACGAGTTACATATATTTTGGTCATTCTTTTACGATATCTACCCAACGAGTTCAATTTGAAATAGAGTGGTCAACCTTACAAATAATTCATATTTTTTATTCAGCAAATATTATATTCATTTTTATTAAAATAACGGCTAGCCACTAAACCGGTTTTTAGGTCGTTACATGAATCCATTTTCTACGGGTTTCTTTTAAACTGGTCAGACGATCACTTAATTAAGAGAAAGTAAATTAAGATTTAATCACATATTAGAGACAAAGACTAGAGCTTACATCCTTGTGCATCCATCTTCGATTGTCCGAAATCACACTGTTATTTTTCGTGCATCCCTTGTCTTCTTAGAGCACTAGAAATTGTCGTGATGAAGCTCCGAGGCTTCAAACCTTCTCTTTTTACCACATCAGCTTTAACTTACACTTTCACTGGAAATGCGTTTGAAGCCCCGGGCTTCAAACTGGGGCTTAAAACCTCTATTTTGTATATTTTTAATACACGTATTCTAAAATTAAATTAATAAGATTTCATTATTTAATTGAATTTAAACGACAACAATTCAAAATTACATTCAATAAAAAATTACATTAATATAATAAGATTTGAATAATAAGAACACAAATTAAGTTACATTACATTGCGAAGAAATTAGTGATTATTCAAGCGAATAAAAATATCTTCTCATTGGCCTTGTTGCCACCATTGATAACAAAAAATGAGAGCTCTCTTTTCATCGTTAGATGATGATCCCTTTTTTCGAATAATTTGTAGAGATAATTAAAAGAAATAGAATATATTTTAGTAGAATTATGAAGAAAATTGTGAATAAGTTGTTTGTGTTTATTGTGTTACAAATAAGGGGTAGTTACAGTATTGAAAATTTTTTTTTTTAAATTAATGCCTAACGATCCAAATTATGGCCGTTGTGGGAGGGAGAATCGTTGGGGGAGGGAGAGGCGCTGCGTCAAACCTTAAACGCCCGGATGACAATAGAGGGGGGCGGCATTTAACATCCCCGTGCGTTAAAACACTACTAACGCCTTTGGGCGTTAGCACCATTTCCGGTGCTCTTAATCGCACAACGCCCATGGACATATAAATTTACTCCTAATTTTCGTTGATAATGGAGCATATGAAAAAAGTTCCAAGTAAAAAAAGAAAAAAAATCACATTGATTTCTTTACACCACAAATTAGTTCTTTCTTTTGCCCAACATACACTTAAATAACTTAGCAGAAAATAGACAAGACACAGATATGGTGCAGAAAAAGGTGAGAATGGAAGAAAACATCCCCATTAACAAAGAGGTGTGAATGCATTTCCCCATCATCTCAACTCTTTCCTCTTTCATTATTGTCCTCTTAGAGTGTCCATTCCACAAACAATTATAGTCTCTTCCTGCTCAGCCTCATACCTCTAATTTATTGCAGACATAAAATCTCAAACAGTACAAATCTAGAGAAACTTGAAGTGACTTTTTTACCCATGCTTCCACGTGCAGCATAATGCATAACATTTAAATTTGAGTTCTTTTAAAGAAAAAGTACAAACAAGCACCAATTAAAAATATTAAAGAATATCCCACATTGCAAAAATGAGAAGAAAATAATAGACATGTAAGATCTTGAGTTGAAGTAATTAATCAATTGGATTCAATCTTTTAATATGATTCAACTATAGTGTCTTGTGAACCAATCTAGTAACTCTTTCATATTTTTGTATTTTAAACACATGGGGACGTTAAATGCCGCCCCTTTTCATATTTGTGTATTTTATTCATTTTTTGATAAAATAAAAACATTTTTATTATCACTTATTTTGTAAAACTTCTAACATAATTTTGAATATATAAATTTTATTTTTATTGATGTATCCCAGTTTATAAATATACTAATTTCAAAAGAAGAAAGTTGTTTTCTCGTAACTTCTAATTAGTGTGATCATGGGTTAGGTGATGATCCCATTTTTCGAATAATTTGTAGAGATAATTAAAAGAAATAGAATATATTAGGAATAATGAAAAGAATGAGAATAAGTTGTTTGTGTTTGTTGTGTTACAAATAAGAGGTATTTATAGTATTGAAAATATTCTTTTTAAGATTAACGCCTAATGATTAAAATTGTGGCCATTGGGGGAGGGAGAGGTGTTGTGTCAAACCTTTAACACGCGGATAACGGTAGAGGGCGGCATTTAACGTCCCCCGTGCGTTAAAACCATAGTTTTAAAATCCGGACTGGCCGGTTCGGACCGTGAACCGGCGAACCAGTGGTCCAACCAGTTCGGTCCTGCTGTGAACCACTGCAAACCGCTATGAACCAGTAAGAACCGGCCGGTCGAACCGATCAGACCTTTTTTGCGCAATTTTTTTCCCCAAAAAATGCTTCGCGGGTGTTGGATTCAATGGTCTCTAAGTACCAAAGTTAGACTTCTAGCCATCCAAGTTAGAGTAATTTTGTATTACAAGTGCACTTAATATGTTTTAATATTCCATTATTAAAAAATTGTATAAAAATTCTTTTCATCTTAAAAATTTTAAAAATATAATATTATAGCTATGATTCAAACTCAGAATCATTGATATAATTGATACTATTACAAAATATATATTATGCAAAGATTTCATTTCAGTATTTTTAACATGAGACAATTTATTTGAAAAACAATAAAATCAACTCTTTGGTCATAAAATTTTTAAAATTATTTTTTAAAATATGTAAATTTTATTTTTAAACTTAGTGACATAACTAAAGTAAATTAATATAGTTTTGGTCAAATATTATAAATTATTTACTCTAGGTATTGATAAATGATGGAGTGTGACTATGTCTGTATATATATATATGTGTGTGTGTATATACTGGTATATGTGTATATACATTTAAAAAATGTTTAAACCAGTGGTTCGATCAGTGAACCAATGAACCAGTACTTGGATCGATTCGGTCACCGGTCTAGTTCTGAAAACTATTGTTAAAACACCCTTAAAGCCTGTGGGCCTTAACACCATTTCCGGTGCTCTTAATCGCCCAAAGCCAACCGACATATACATTTACTCGTAATTTGAGTTGATAATGGAGCATATAAAAAAAGTTCAACGTAAAAAAAGAATAAAATCACATGGATTTCTTTACACCACAAATTAGTTCCTTCTTTTGCCCAACATACACTTAACGAACTTAGCACAAAATGGACAGGACACAGATATGGTGCAGAAAAAGGTGAAATGGAAGAAAGCATCCCCATTAGCAAAGAGCTGTGAATGCATTTCTCCATCTTCTCAACTCTTTCCTCTTTCATTATATTATTGTCCTCTTACAGCGCCCATTCCCCAAACAATTATAGTCTCTTCCTGCTCAGCCACATACTTTTAATTTATTGCAGACATGAAAACTCAAATAGTTGAAATCTAAAGACTCTTCAAGTGACTTTTTTACCCATGCTTCCACGTGCAACATACTGCATAACATTTAAATTTGACTGTTTTCAAACAAAAATAAAAACAAGCAACAATTAAAAATATTAAAGAATATCCCACATTGGAAAAATGAGAAGAGAATAATAGACATGTAAAATCTTGAGTTGAAGTAATTAATCAATTGGATTCAATCTTTTAATATGATTCAATTATAATGTCTTCTGAACCAATGTAGTAACTCTTTCATATATGTGTATTTTCAACACACGGGGACGTTAATTAAACGTCGCCCCCCTTTTCATATTTGTGTATTTTACTCTTTATTTGATAAAATAAAAACATTCTTATTATTACTTATTTTGTAAAACTTCTAACATAATTTTTGAATATATAAATTTTATTTTTATTGAAATATACCAGTTCATAAATAAAATAATTTCAAAAGATGAAAGATTTTAATTTCTTCGTAACTCTTAATTTGTAATCCAAATTGAGATCGAGGGAAAACTTAGTGTGCTCATGGGTTTGTTCTTTTATTTCCCTCTTCATAAATTAAAGAAAAATGCTAGGGGTACACCTTTGGTGTACCCCATTTGTCCCCCACCCCCTCCATTACCACAAAAATGAGCAAGAAACTAAAAAAAATTAAATAAATAAAAATGGGGTAAAAATGAGTGGTTGAAAGAGTGGTGGGGGACAAAAGGGATACACGTTTGGTGTACCCCTAGCATTGCTCTAAATTAAACTTTCGCCTCATAAGTTCACTTTTTTAAAATTTGTGATAAAATAATGAAGTATGCTTTTATTTTTTAAAGAGTAGGGAAAGGGTTATTCATAACCAGATCGTAACCTCCAAACCATTTTGTTAGTGTTATGAGTAGTGCTATGAAGAGGTCTTTCTCAGCATGTAGCATATTTTGTGATGATATGTTAAAAATGAAATGTGGTCCTACTTCTCTCAATTGCCCATGTGCTCTAGACATCAAATATTTCTTATTCACTCACTATTTTTTATCAAATTAAACTAGGTCAGTGGTACACCAACGTGGGGTTTCCTATTTATAAGGACTTGTGGATGATCTCCAAGTCCATTACTCATCAGATTCTGAAACTCTGCCAAAGAAGATTTTAAAGTTAACTTCATTCCTGGTATTTTCTCCATTTCAATGGTGCAATGCAACGCTGGAACCTAAAATAAAAATGAATACTAATCAAAAAACATATTCAAATGCATTAGACTATAACCTATTACTGTATCATATTATATTGATGATTGTCATGGTCGAATGACTTGTTCTGCATCCAAAATTTTCAAACACAAACAAAATAAACTTAAAATATTATATTTTAGTGTACATGCAATGTACCTCAATTTCGGAAGCCATCGGGAACGATTCATCTTCCAGAGATGGAGTTACATTAGCGGAAATCTGACACCAAGCCCAAATAGTTCAAAATAAAACCAAAATCAGTTAATTTTAGTGAGGATTATCTAAAAATACCTGGTTTGCATTCTCGATCTTCTCCCTTCGTGTTTGGGTGAGAGTTCTTCTTCTCTTGTACTGGAACTCGTAACTTGCTCCAGTGTTCTCCATGACAAACAAATATGTGGTAGTAATTGAAGATATCCAACGACGATATGCAAAAGAGAACGAAGAGTAGAACAGTTTCAATTGGAGAAGGCGTATCATTTTTGAAGACTGGTCGGGGGGTTAAGGAGTGGCTGGCGCTTCAAACGATGCCATTTGGCCTTTCCAAAAATCATCTTGACGCTTCGAAGGCAACTTGACGGCTAGTTGTTAATTTTAACATTCCCGTTTAATTTTTGATGTAACGATCATAAACATTGACGTTTTGTTGTTTGGTTGGAAGGACATTTCCATCATTTCCCCTCATTTCACCCGAGTAGAGCGGACACGCCTCAGGCGAATCTGTGTTAGATCTAGGAGGGTATTCGTAGGGGTGTTCATGTTTAGGTCTGGACCGAAAAAACCGACCGAACCGGACCGTTAGGTCCAGACCAAACCCGGACCGAAATGATATCGAGTCGGTCTTCGGTCCAGATTTTTTCTGATTTCGGGTTTCGGTCCGGTCCGGTCCATACCCGAATAATAGTCGGTCCAGACAGACGGACCTATATAACCTCTTTGTAAAGTTACGCAACCCTATCCTTTTCTTGGCCCTCCTCTGAATGTCCATTTTCTCCGTCATCTTCTCGTTAGACCTCAATACCGTATTCTCATAAATTCCAATCTTTTTATGCCCTTTTCCATAAATTCATCCACAGGTGCTGCCCTGCTTTTGCCATGCTTTATCCTCATTTCTCAACGTGGAGTTTCTAAACCAGGAGTTCAAACGGTCCAAGAGGAGGGAGCAGATATCCTTCAAAATCTGAGATTTCATTTTTCCTAGGTCCGTATGGAAATTTACGCGGCGACCGTCTCTGCCCACCATTTCTCCGTCTCTTTTAGGCGTCCACTGACAAAAGCCCATCTCTCAGGCAACTCTAGAAGGCCATACCCATTTATCACTTTTCCATCCTCAGACTCTTTCACGGTAAGTCATCCTGAAATTGTACCAGTTCTGCAATTGATTCTGCAATCTTTTTCCCCATAATTTTCGTTGTAATTACTGTTTACCTATCTGCTTAGAGAGACGCATGGAGGGTGATAAATTTCAAGAACCAGGTGAATTTTAGGAGGAGGACTGTTATTAGGGCGGAAATGTTTGGCCAGCTCACTACCGGACTTGAAGCTGCTTGGAATAAGCTCAAAGGGGAAGGTCTTTTCTTTTCTTTCTTGTTTTTCTTACTTTCTTGATTTAGGATTTCGTTTTGATTAAGAGTGATTTTAGAGGGTTAGAGTAAAAAGGATTAACGAAAAAAAAAGAGTTAGGTGACTATGTAACACCCAGCCCTATTGGCGAGAAGTTACTACTTTTAAGATTGTAGAATGATTCTAGACTGGTCCCACAAACCAACACGAGTCTTTTCCTCGCACTTTGGCCTCACTTATGGGTAGGGGCGGAACCAGAAAATTCATAGAGTGGGGGCGAAAAAAGAAATAAAAATAAAACTAAATAAAACGATAAATATTTTTAATATTAAAATTCATAACATAACAAATCATATTACCTCAAGTCTAAAAAATCATTCTTCTAGCCTTCATTGCTTGAAAATATTGTAGGATGTCTCCATCTTCCACACGATCAAAAGTTTCATACTCTATATAAGTTAGCATACAAGCATTAAACCACTCATCACCAATTTTGTTGCGTAACTTATCTTTGACCAAGTTCATTGCTGAAAATGCACGTTCCACACTTTCCGTTGCAACCGGTAAAAGTAAAGCTAACTTCACCAACAAATACACCATCGGATAAACAATGTCTTTCTTCTTCTCAACCATTTTTTGGGCGAGTTCTCCTATTCCTTTCAAATTAGCAAATCCTTCATCATCTTTTACATCAAGAATAAAAGTCTCCAAGGAGGAGGAAAGGAAAAAAACATCACAAGACTAATCAAAATCCATAGGATAATATGTAGCAAATTCAACCAACTTTTTGGTGTCAAATTTGTAGAATGAATCTCGTGGATCAAGACAACTCAAACACTCGATCAACTTTGTGTTCACGTTGTCAAAGCAATCATTCATCTCAAAAAGCTGTTGGTCGATCACTTTATCAAAGTACATGAACTTCAAGAACTCCCAAAACTTGAGTGTTGATGCATTTCTCCTTGATCTTCCCTTGGGACAATAGAAATCACCCATGTTTGGAATATCAACCTCATGTTTCTTGCAAAACTCAGTTGTTAAATCAAGCAACATATCAAATTTAACACTTTTCAAATTCTGCAATCGAACTTTTGCAACTCTCACTAAAGCAATTGCATTGGCTAGGTCCCGATCCTTTCGTTGCAAGGACTGTTATAGTTCGTAAATAATGCTTAAGACCATCTCCATCAAATGCAAAATGAATACAAATTCAAAATCTTCAATACCAAACAAAATAGCACTTGCCTCCGTCCTTACCGAATCATTCTTAGGATCATTTTGAATTATATTCATCAATGAAACAATAGGAGAGAACAATGAAATTACACTCACAGTTGTTGAGTAATGAGACCCCCATCGCGTATCCCCGGGCCTTCTCAAACTTGATTCTTGATTAGAACCTCTTCCATGCACATCACCACAAGCAATTCTTTCAAGAATCATTTCATATTGCTTTTCACGAAAAATATCTTGTCGCGTACATGAACCATTAACATCATTGGCCATCTTTTGAAGAATATCAAAAAATTCTTGAATCTTTCTATCCACTCTTAGCCGCCTTTACAAGCACTAATTGTAGTTGATGAGCAAAACAATGGATTTAATAAGCTGATTTATTTTCAGCTGAAATCAAACTTTTTAAACCATTGAACTCACCTCTCATGTTACTAGCTCCATCATAACCTTGACCACGACACTTAGATAAACTAAGTCCCATTTTAGCAAGAAGCCCATCAATTGCTAATTTTAACAAAAAATAAAAGAATTTTGAATAACTCTATGAATTTTGAAATTTCCAAAATATGGTTGGTGTTCTTTTTTTTTGGTTTTTTTAATGTTTATATTAAATCCCTTATGAATGAGAATTGATTCATACTAATTTTCTTCAATTATTGAGCAAGTTGTTGATTTGGTTGATTTGATTTCATAAGTAGGTTGATATGTGGAATTCGGTTTTTGTTGAAGCTATTTTAGCTTCATAATGTAGTTTAAATGAACTCCGGATTCATACGTGATTCTTTGTTGTGATTGCGTTCGTTGATTTTAAAGAACCTTGACCACGACACTTAATAATTAATTACTCTATGAATTTTCTGGCTCCGCCCCTGGATGAAGGTTGGAAGACTGAGGAGCTTCCCATGTACTGCTCCAACCCAGCAACAGTCGTCTCTGGCGATTCCATTTACTTGCTTCCTGATTTTTCTGAATTTGAGTTTATTCACGGGGAAAGTAGCCAACAAGAATCAGCCCTTGGGGTTACATCTATGACACAATTGAGCACAATGGTCGCTTTGTGTATCTTCCACAAAATTACATGAACTGTGGGCCTAAGTACTTTTGCCTCTGGGTGGTCATGGGGTTCGGGTTCCGACGTTTATGCTGGAGGGGGGCGGGATGGAATGGTTTGACCATAACCACCTGAACCCGAACCCGAACCCCAACCCATGACCACCCAGAGGCAAACAGTACTTAAGCCCGCACTCCATGTAAGTTTGTGGAAGATACACAAAGCGACCATTGTGCTCAATTGTGTCATAGATGTAACCCCAAGGGGTTGATTCTTGTTGGCTACTTTCCCTGTGAATAAACTCAAATTCAGAAAAATTAGGAAGCAAGTAAATGGAATCGCCAGAGACGACTGTTGCTGGGTTGGAGCAGTACATGGGAAGCTCCTCAGTCTTCCAACCTTCATCCAGGGGCGGAGCTAGAAAATTTAGAGTTATTAATTATTAAGCGCCGTGGTCAAGGTTCTTTAAAATCAACGAACGCAATCACAACAAAGAATCACGTATGAATCTGGAGTTCATTTAACTACCTTATGGAGCTAAAATAGCTTCAACAAAAACCGAATTCCACATATCAACCTACTTATGAAATCAAATTATACAATTCAACAACTTGCTCAATAATTGAAGAAAATTAGTATGAATCAATTCTCATTCATAAGGGATTTAATATAAACATTAAAAAAACCAAAAAAAAGAACACCAACCATATTTTGGAAATTTCAAAATTCATAGAGTTATTCAAAATTCTTTTATTTTTGGTTAAAATTAGCAATTGATAGGCTTTTTGCTAAAATGGGACTTAGTTTATCTAAGTGTCGTGGTCAAGGTTATGATGGAGCTAGTAACATGAGAGGTGAGTTCAATGGTTTAAAAAGTTTGATTTTAGCTGAAAATAAATCAGCTTATTACATCCATTGTTTTGCTTATCAACTACAATTAGCGCTTGTAAAGGCGGCTAAGAGTGATAGAAAGATTCAAGAATTTTTTGATATTCTTCAAAAGATGGCCAATGTTGTTAATGGTTCATCTAAGCGACGAGATATTTTTCGTGAAAAGTAATATGAAATGATTCTTGAAAGAATTGCTTGTGGTGATGTGCATGGAAGAGGTTCTAATCAAGAATCAAGTTTGAGAAGGCCCGGTGATATGCGATGGGGGTCTCATTACTCAACAATTGTGAGTGTAATTTCTCCCTTGCCACCACCCCACCAGCCAAGTTCGAGGATACGCCAATGTGTATAAGTGTATATTCATCTCACTATCCACTACTTAAGGGCGTGCTATACTTGAACTCACCCTCTTTAGGTTTTACACATGAAAGCATCATGGTAATAAACGCAAGTGCATGGAAGAGCATTACCCCAAAAACAAGCTATTAATAAGTATGGAGAACCAAGGCCTTGTAAAACCTTTCCAAAGAGGAAGACTGGGCATCATTAACTGGTCTAGCTTCCTTTTGCTCCTCAGGAGCTAGGATGTTATGTGTGTCCATCAAAACTTCCTAATGACATGTACATGTACAGGGTTTGTTTTGTTTTTTTATGTTCTATTTATATTCAAATTGCAGGTTTTCCTGTGGTATAACCTGATGCTGCGATCCCTGATAGTTTTATGGAACCTTGTGAATGTCTTGTCCAAACTGACCCTGTCAATATATTTATGGGGTTATACATTTTGTGGTTTTTTTCACATTTCCAACATGAAAACCATGTGTTTCAGAGGCGTTGACTAAGGAAAATATTGCCG